TAAAGTCCTCCAAATCCCAATATGTTTAATAAAAAGCACTACATGACTTTTTTTGCAGTGAACTGGAGTTTGCATCTTTCAGTAAGTAGCACACCATATCCAGAGTGACCGGCACTATGTCCAGGAAAAGAAAAATTATGATAGAGATCAACTAGATGAGAATGACTCACAGACTAACCTTTTATACTTTTGTCTTGCTCTGTAATACACTATTTGTCCTTCTACAGAAGCTTTGACATCTCTACGTACAGGCTTCTGTATGTATGAGGATTTTAAATCAGTGACAGTTTCCCTCTTGATAATCTCATTTGTATTTCAAAACACCTAAGACCTGCTAATCTGCAAGACTGTGTGGTGAAAAGCGAAGAAGTCCTTTCTCTGCTCTAGAGAGGAAGAATAACTGCAGTAAAGAAGGTTTAATGTCAAATGTGCTAAATATTTAATATTGCGCCCATCCAAAAGCCTAAATACACATAAACACCTCAGTAAATCTGAACCTGCCAATGGTCTGAGGAGAAATGTGGGCCTAAATTAGGAATTCTGTTCTTTTACCTGAAGGATGATCTCTTTAGTCAAAGTGGAGTCCACATAGCCACACATTAATTACAAACTTTAGAGAAGCGTCTCTTTAGTAAAAGTGGAGTCCACATAGCTACACATTAATTACAAACTTTAGAGAAGCAAAATTACTGACTAGAACATAACGCTGCTCTGTCATTACTGGCATTTCCGTTAATGCTGAGCATGAGGCAAACTAAAGATGAAAGATTGGCATCTAAATTATGACTAGGAACTGAATGATAGCACATACATACTGACTACCTCTTTCCATCCAGCATTTCCCTTCTCTCCAAGACTTAAACAAAAGCCATTGTGTGATACTTACGTTGTAGAAGATTTAGAAATGTCCGGCTAAACCTCTGAGCATATACCATCTCTGCTGCTGAAACCCTGCCCAATGTCAGTAAGTGCTGGTCTGTGGGGGAGCTTGACAGCTCCATCAGCTCATTGCCACTCACATCACTGCCAAGGGCAAGAACGAACAAGGTGAATCCCTGGCACTTGGCTCCGAGTGAAATCTCTCTCAGCCTCTCTCTGTCCCACGTGCTTGTCTTGCTTCCAACTATTGAAAATATGACCCTGTGTTTTCTTTGTCTGGGAGCTTTAAAGAATACGTTTTCAACTGTCCACTGTAGAGCAGAAGCAATGGCTGATGGCCCTTCCAGTTGTTGAACAGACTCTTGGATGTGTTTCTTCATCAATTCTTTATTGCTGTATGTGACTAGATCAAACTCCAAGGCCACAGGGGTCTGGTTTCTGTCAGGCAGGAAGCCCCTGGGAGCCTGCTGCACCAGTGCCACTCTGATGCCTCCATATGATTCATTTGGCTGTGAGGAAACGACAAACTGATCTACCATGTTGCTTACAAAGTCTTTGGCTCTCTGAAACTCTTCACTGCTGATGCTGCGAGAGCTGTCCATGATGTAAGTGATATCCATATCCATCTGAACAGTGGGAGAAAAGGGCACCTCACAGTTGGTCCTTGGTTTGCATTTATCTAGAGAGGAAGAGCCAATAGGCAGCAAAATATTTAGTAAGAAAATTTACACAGTCCTATACATCTATTTTATTTTTCTTAAATATTCATTTTAAAAAAAATCAGCTTGGGAACTGGAAACCTTGTTGTTCTAGTAAGGAGCAACAGACAAAACTAGCTGGAGATGGTTTTGAGATACCATGGGAAATTTTTCAGACTCGAGAGCAAAAACTATTCATCAGGTAAAACTTCATAGATAAGAGTTCCCTTGAGAAAGTTTCTTGTGTTGAAATCTAAACATTGTAAAGGACACAGAAACAAACTCTATTTTTCATCTCAGATGATTGTTCAATACTGAAATACTATGATTTCAGAGCTTCTCCCCTCCTCACAGTGAGGGGAGAATTTACAGAATTTCCCTGAATTTACAGCAAGTGAGCCTGTTTTCCCAGAATCATAATGCTATTTTAAGTGCATTTCTGTTAAACAGCAAATGCTAAACACAATAGTTCATTTCACATGGCTGTGACAGCAACAAATTAAACATTTTTTGTGGGTTTGAGATTCTAATTTTTACCATCCACTGAAGGGGAAATTAAAATTTCAACTCTCCAGCAGTGGTAATTTGTAACTAAGGAATGATCTGTCACAGAGGGCAACCTGTTGCAGAAGGGGTTAAACTGGCTGGAAGCAGGAACACCAGAAACAGAGCAACTCCCTGTAAGGGAGTGAAATTTCTCTTAGTGCTGACAAAAACCAGCTACCACGTTGTCTTGTAGCCATCCAGGAATGGGAGCACTCAGGGCCACCTATGGACAGCAGAGCTGGGCTGAGTTGTTCCATACAACCCCTCATGGGATTGGTGCTGGTGCAAGCATGTGTAAGCAATAAGCTCTTAATGTGTTTACAAATGTCTTGAAGAGCCATTTATGACATTAGGATCCTGCCCAATGCATTATTCATATTTTTCTTTTATATTTAAGCACAAACATGTTTAAGGTGTACCCTAAAAATTCACCAACACCACACTGCAAAACAAAAGCTATAGAATTTGTTATTGGAAAGGTAAATAGACCAATTCAACAGGTGGAATTTTAAAATGTCTTACCAAAGCAAAGTGTACAATATGTGATGTCCTCCAAACTTTCATCCTGTTGTCTTTCCCAAATAAATAATTGAAAACTTCTAGTGTCATCAATCTATGTTTTAAAGCAGACACAAAGGTAACATTAAAAAAGACAAGTAAAGCACAGGTAAAAGATATGACTTTTTTTTTTCCAGTGGAGGACTATGACTTTTTTTGTTGTTGTTTTCTTAATAGGGTGCTATTTTTCTACAGAGAAAAGGGCAGGATCTCCTATCTCAGGTCTTTCTTGGACAAAGAGTGAAGATGTCTTCTTGGGACAGAGAATTCTAGCATTAGATAGTTCCAGCATGAGAACAACCTATGTGTTGCTTGTGATCAGCTGAAGAAAGACAATTGTCACCAGTAGAAGATTTGACCACAGAAATGCTTGAGGAACTCTGAAGAAGCTCCAACAACATCCTACAATTTCACTGACCACCTAGCCCCACACAAATGGGATTCAAGGGAAAAGCATTTCCTTGTGGACTAAGATAAATAAAAGTGGCTGCAAAATATCATAGTATTGCAGGAAACAAACAATATCTAGATAGGCTATAATGGTGAATAAAGAAATAATTGCTCCTCTGCACTAAACTTCAGCTTTGTGTGTTACATGCAACACAATTAAATTCTGGTTAATGTCTGTAAAGGACGTTAATGATAGAACTCTACAAACTAATTAGAATTAGTAAAGACTGTTTAAGTGATCTCTAAACTGAAGCTCCTAAAGCAAAATAACCAAAGCCAGTAAGTATCTGTGGCTACAAACTGGTAGGATTATAAAGATTAAACCACCTCTCAACTGAAAGGGCAGAAGTCCATCTGAAAGAAACAGGGAAGTTATATCTGCCTGGAGCATGGTGGTGAGGTTGGTTGCCTTCCCACCATGGTAAACATAAAGGAGAGTGGGGCAGTGGTTCTTTTTGCCTTTCCCCCCACTAAGCTTCTCTTTTAAACATTTCTACTCTGAAAACTGATTTATGGAAAGTCAGCACCTTTGTAAATACCAGCTGTGATCACACGCATTTAGAGTCATAATCTGCTTATACTAAGTAAAAAAAATACTGATGTTTGCACCTGTTTATCCTGTGGAGCAACCCAGTCAATAAACTATAAGCTTCCTTCTCATACACCAGCAGCATTTTTTCATTCTGCTATATTAACATTCAGCCAGAAAAGTACAGGAATTGGCTTACAGATATGAGGTTGCATGAGAATAAATATAATATGAAGATTTAAGGGCTGACTCAGATGCTTCTAGATCAGAATTTAAACTCCAAGTTTTGCACTTTTTCTCATGTATAAGTGAACATGTTTCCTTCTAAAAGGACAATTTTGAAGAAACAGCAGCTGGAAAGAAATTTATTTTGAAAAAGTTAAGTCTGAGAACATATGATACCAAAACAAATTAAAAAGATGGAAAACATAAAATCTGTATTATGAAATCTTAAATAAACTTAGAATTGTTTTCCTTTCATACCTTGTATAATGGATTGTTTATTTTTGTTCACTATCTTTCATATCAAGTCATATCTCTAAACAAATGTTGATAATTATCCTGTACTAATGGCAATACAGTGATACCAGGAAAACCTGAATCAAAAGGGGCTTTGCTTAGATAATTTTCTTTTGAAAAGAAAACTAGTGCACTTGCAGACTTCTACTACTACTTTTTCTAGAAGCTAGGGCCACAGCTTGTTAGTTAAATGGTTAGTACATGTCACAGCTTCAGAAGAGTAATGGCATAGGTAACTAAGAGAAATTAACACAATGTTAGGGCAATTCTGTTATTTGACCTAAAAGCACAAATGATTAATAGTTCATGTGCAGAAAGAGGTCAGATGCTCATCATTATGGTCACTGTTTCTTTGTTAAAACAGTAGCCATTAATATACCTCTACCTAATAAGGGATTGGACAGTTTCCATTGAACTTATTGGCTTGAGAGCAGACTTCACTCAAATACTAGCAGGCACTAAGCAAATGGGTGTCTTAGTCTATCTACTTACTGAGAAGGCACGTCTGACATTTGGCACTTCACTGAAGGCAATAACCACTGGAGTGATATCTAAGGCACTCAACTCAAGCACAGCTGTGCTGATGGCAACATCATCCTGTGATGGACCATTGGCAAAAAATACGGCAACTTTTCTTGTGAGGAGGCCCTGACGAACACGTTTGAAGACATTTCGTGCAACAAATCTCATGGCTGCCCCAATATGGCGTTTTCCAGAGGATCTCTCTAGTGGTATGCTCTGGACTGCTTGTAGCAGCAAGTTGCTTTTTCGGAATTCTGAGAATCGGATGAGATAACGCATGTTGGTATTGAAAGAAACAACAGAGACGCGAGCGCCTGTTGGGCAATTGCTTTCACTGATCTTAATGGTCTTCAGCAATGACAGAACAATGTTCCTCATCCTTTCAAATGCAGCTGGTGTAACGTCATCAGACATATCGAAGGCAAACACCACTTCAGTTGGATAAGCTGGACACGTGTCTGTATATTGAAACAGAACATTTGTGTGAGAACCTGTCCACTACTCAAACATTCTTAGCTTTTTCTTCAAGTCTATAAAAGCATGGATATGCAGAGGCCAGATGAGCTTACCTGATGAGCAAGCTGGAATGAAGAGAGGGAGAAAAAATAAATTATTTTGGACTCATATTCATTAATATAAAGACATATTCAGTTGCTTTCACTAAAGAGCCAGATTCAAAGGTCAGACAACTGACAGAATCTGTCAGTGCAAGACAACACTCCTCTTCCACAATCAAATACTCAAAATACTGCAATTTTACCAGATAAGAATTAAAATAATTGTTCTGGGTACTGCTGAGCACACATCTGAGAGAGGATGAACATAATTAATCTGGAGGACAGCTGATATACAAATACTGTCTTCTCTCAGAGAACTCCCCAGACAGTGTTGGCATAGCACCAAAGAATTTATTTAATCTTTAATGAGTAAGAGAGGTATTTGTTACAGTTTTTGTAATTAACAGATAGAAAAAATGAGCAAAAAGCCTAAGTCTGCCTCATACACCTGTTGAAAAAACCCTCACCATTAGCAACTACAAGTCAAACTAAACGCAGGCACAAACAAGCAATTTAGAGGGTTTCCAATAGAGGCTCTTCCATTTAAGAAAAGTGACTAGATGGAATCAGAGGTAAAAGAAGATGCTCCCTACTTACGGCAGTTTTTTCGTGTAAAATTCACTAGTTCACAAGGCTGCAGGGTCAAAACAAAAAAGGAATTAGTGGCAAATCCCAGACCATCCCAGACTGGGAATCTCACTATTGGTTTGAGCTGAAGGTCATATCCCAGCTCCTGAACTAACTTTCATTACAGTAGATGCAAAATCACACATCCCAGTTCCTCTGTATTTCTAATAGTACAGGGGCTTTCCTGTCCCTGCAGAAACTAGGCAGCTTTTTTAGACCTGCTGTGCTGACATTTAACCATGTTCTGGAGTATTAAGCAGCCATTTATCCATTCATTATTTTGTGCAATAATCTGATCAATGATGTCACCAGGCAAAGGCAATTCTATAAAAGAATGGGTATTTCAGTAGCAATTCACATAGGAAGAGAGAGGTCCATGGAGGAGGAGAGGGCCTTCTCTGGACACAAAACACACCTGCAATAGCATTGCCTGCAGGTAGTCAACCATGCAAGGGTTAGATGGAGCCTTTACTCAGAAGTGTTCAATTTACATGGGATTAGGATTCTGAAGAAATCCTGCACTTCTGTTCCCAGTGAAAACAGCTGTTGCTGCAGGAAAGCCTCCCTTTCCAAGAGGGTGAAAAGTAATCCTAAACAGTTGGTATGTAAACTGATGAGAGTAAAGAAATAAATAAAGAAATATTAATGGTCCAACAATTTGTAAAATTTTGGACATGGCGTTAATCCATATGCATAATTGTTTCTCTTTCCTTGATAATTTGCAGAACAGAAGAACACATTACACTCTGACAAATACGTGAGATAGTGTTTTATAACAACTAATTGTTGTCGTTGCTGTTAGTGCTTACAAATGGAAGACTAAAACTGCTAATTCCATGCAGTATACAGTTATCTCTAAGGTGATTACTTACTTCCATTAAAATGGTGCCCATTGGTCCCTTGGCACCCTGAAACAAATTAAACACAAGTCCAAAAAATCAGATCTTGATCATGTATTTCCATCTATTACTCCATAGCCCAAAGAAGATGCAGGCACACAGTGTTTCCCAACAGCCATTTGTGAATGTGAAATATGAGAAGACATCAGTTCCCAGCATGTTCCCCCTGTGGACCTGTTCCAGAGTTGCAGACTACTTCTCAGACTTATTTCTCAGTCCATTTTCCTTAATAGTTTTAAAATGTTCAATACTTGTTGCCCTTGAGGACCAGTATAATTCAGAAGAAATTCTGCCCTGAAATGTACTGCTGCAGTTCCATTTCCAACAGCAGGTGCTCCTGTGCACACACATCCACAGGCAAGACATAACTCCATGCAACTGCCAATTAAACATAGTTTACCACATGAAACATTATTAAGTATTCCATTAATCTAATAGTAAGTTTCATAGCAATCCAAGAGTGATTTTTTTAGAAATAAAAATACTTTACCATAGGTCCTGATGGCCCTCGGTCCCCTGGATCTCCCAGGGAACCTGGTGTGCCAGCATTACCCTAAAAATAGGAAAAACAAACCCTGTATAACCATGTTGTGAGCTGGATCCTGCATTTACATGAAGATAGACTACCTATGAATTATTGGCAACTAGCATCTCTGAAGACAGACTTGCATTCTCTCATGACCTCTTGCCCAAGATATGGCAATACAAGATCAGGGTGGAACCAATTTAAAACTTTGTTGGCAAGGAAACACTTAGGACATAAGGGTTTTACTTAGAGGACTCCACAGAGTTAGCATTCTTTAGTCATTCTTACTCTTCTACCCCTAACTCCTTTGGGTCCTTCAACTCCTGGGCTGCCTGGATCTCCTTCTTCTCCCTGAAAATTAATGATATCCATAATTTATTGGAAAGAAGACAGACAGAAACACAGATAACCACTTCCAAATAAGAATAATATAAAACAAGACACATAGAAAGCAAACATGCCCATTAATCATACCTCTGGACCAGGATATCCTATTAATCCAGATTCTCCCTACCAAAAGAAAGCACAAAGACTTCATAAGAATCTAGAACTTTATGATCTGCTTAGTGTTTGACGCCTTTAAGCCAAAAATATTTTCAAAATCATTCTTGGCATTCCAGCCCTTTCAAGTAATAGTGGCTCCTACACTGGTCTCAAATGACACCATTTTAGATTAACACCTCGTTAAATTAAAGGAAGAGCATTAAAAAAATTTCAAAATTTCTGAATTTTCAATAGTATTCCATTCCTCAAATAAGTGTTTTATCAAAACTTATTGATGCCTCCTATTAACATACAATGGAGTTCATGTGTAGTGATTATCAGTAATGTGTAACTTTCAGAACTCAGTCTTTGAATGTAATTTCAAAATATTGTACCCTATGTACTAAACAATGATGCCATAGTACTTTGTTGGCATATTAGAAGCCAATTCATTAATTGTTTTAAGTTACTTCAGTTTCTGGTGGGCTCTTTGCTCATATATAAGAAATATGGAAACTCACAAAAACCAATCAGCAATGTATCTTTCCTCGACATCAGAATTCACATTAATTATGTATGTCCTTGTCTTAAGAGTTCCCTCCCATGAAAGTGGACATGCCTGTAAAACATTATATGACTTTATCCTACAATTTTCAGAAAATTTGGTGCACGTAGGTCCCATATTACACGTAAGAGTGTAATGTGATTGTGAACCTGTATAATTAATAGCAACATTAAGTTAAACCTATTCTAAAGGTTATTCTCTTAGAAATTAGGGAAAAACAACTCTTTCTGAATCACTATTCTGGGGTGAATTGGTTTTTTGGTTGCTTTTATTACTTATTCTAACCAGGCCATCCCAAATCTTGGGCAGATACATCAGTGTGTAAGAAGAACATTAAGTCAATCTTTTAAAATAATGAATAATGACAAGAAGATTTAGTAGAAACTTCTTTCCTCATTTCTTGTAAGACAGAGGATGTTCCCTGGAATGAACAAGTGGAAGATTCCAAGAGATAAAAGAGCAAGTCTTGCATATAATGTATGTGTAACCTATAAAACTCTCCCATCAAGGGAAATTGTTTGAGCTCAGAAGGTAAAAGAGAGACTGGAAAATAAGAAGCATCAAGAGCCATTTTAACAAAAAGGCATTTTAGAAAAATGAGCTTTTCAGTCGGAGAGTCTCCTGGGAAGCCTTTCATGTCTTTTCTACAGCATTCTGAAACACTGTTTCTTCCACAAACAGGGAGAGTGAAACAGATGGGACTACCAGTGAGATCCATTCGACCACTTCTGTTTCACAGGCAACAAGAAAGCACTTGTACTCCAACACTACATGAATTCTTTGAAAGGAGAACTGCAGCTGTGTCCAACATCCTGACCAGTTTTCTCATGGCTTTTTTTTTTTTCAGCACCATGAAGGGAATGATAAGAATTTCTTAGCAATCCAGAGATTAATCCTCAGAACTTATTGCTGACCACAATGGAGAATATTTCACATTGAAACAGTGAGGATGTTTGAAGAGTATTGCCCTCACCTTTGCAGTCTTCTGAAGAAAGAAAAATGAAAAGAATCAAAAGTGACTGCTCCACCAATACTTGCAAACAAGGGTGGCTAGTCAAGCAGACTAAAGCAGGGAGAAAACACTGTAATCCAAGAAGTACAATCCTCCATATCCATATACACACATCAAGGGAAGAGTGAGTGGTCCTCAAAAGAATATCCCTGTTGCAGAATTTCTCACAAGGACTGTGGGAATTCTGAACCTCTTACTGAACCTCAGAAATGCACCGTGGCATTTTCTTTTTCATCAAATATGGATGTTTCACTTGACACTGCAGAACACTGAGAGATGTTCTGACTTGAAGCACTCACCTTTGTTCCTTTGCTTCCTTCAGGACCATAGGCATCTCTGCCATCCATGCCCTGCATAGGTTGAATATACTATGAGTCAGTTTTTAATAGAGAATTAGATCTATATCGAGTTCTATTTTGGAATTAAGATGTCCCATTACAATGAGGTGCCCAAGCTGTTAAGAATGATGAAGTAGGGCAAGCTATCGCAATACAATCTAAAACCAGTAGCAATTGGCAAAAACCGTAAGAGAAAACAGGGATTAAGGCCACTGCTCCTTTCCACTGAATGCCCTTTAGCATATTTTCCTCTCTTCCAGAGAATCTGAGGGGAAAGATGTGCTCTCACAGGGAATCCAGTGTCCATAAGGAAACTGAGAACCAGATGTGAAGAAATTGTATCAAATTGAGAAAATTGAAGGGAATGAACTGTACCGATTGAGATGGAGAGGTATTAAACTACAGGGACCAGAACGACTCACAGGTATGCCTCTCTGTCCAGGTGGTCCAACTGGGCCCTTCTCTCCAGGGTCACCTGGTTCACCCTGTTAGGATTGAAACATAAAAGGCATTAGTTTGTCTCATTCAAGAGAATTCTTTTTTCTGAAATGCAAACTTCTCTGCTAGACTGAAGTGGGCCTATAGGTTTTATAGACTACTTGATGCTGGGCAAAAGCATTCCATTACAGACCATGTTTCATGAAAGATTTCTTATGGTGGAATTGGAAAGGACTTAACAGAATCAGAATATGCTCAGCATTCATGCAGTTAAACTCCAAAGGCCTTTGCTCAATAAAACTCCCATTGTTATACTCTATCACCAGTGAAAAAAGTGGGGTTTGGAAAAATTTGTACTAATGGTAGAAGGATATATTCTGGAATTCTACCAGCCTGAAGCACCTGTTGATAGGAGATGATATTCCTCAGGGCAGGCTGTCTACAACGCGCTCTTAGTCCTCTTGCAGGGTTTCTTTTCTTCAGTTCCATTTTTGTTTTCACTTTCTAATTAAACTTTCTTCTAACAAGGAACCCAATATTAAACAGCACAAAATCAGACATAGAAAATGGAATGTATGATGGAAATTCCTGGAGTATCTTCCCAGTTTTTGTCACTGTTTCTCTGTATGTTTTCATAGGAGCACTTTGACCTTCTGATACCTCTCTGTCACTGAATGTAGTAACCCTCTGAAGAAACTGAAAGGCTTAGCAAACTGATATTTCTTAGGCCTTTTAGACTCAAAGACCCATCAAGACCTAAAATGAGTTATTTTTATTAATTAAAGTGAGTCTCCCATATCAACACATGTAAATGAAAGGAAAGTAAGGCATAACATTTATTATTAATAAGTGAACCATAATGTGGACTATCTGTTAGTATAAGCCTTTCTGTTTAACTTCATGCTGATTCAGTTCTTCTCAGCATATGCATTGCACTATAACAGACATCATAACAGTCAGTGTTCCTTGGACTAGTCTAGAATCTTTAGAAAATCAAGGTTAAAATAAGCATCTATGCTTCTTTGAACTGGGAAGGTTAGATTGGATATATGGGAAAAGTTCTTCACCCACAGATTGAAGTCACTGTTCCAGTGTTGGTTACTGGAACATTGGCTCTCCACAGAAGTGGTCACAGCACAAATCCTACCAGAGTTCAAGAAGCATGTGGATGGTGTTTCTAGACATGTGATTTAGTTTTAAGTAGTTCTGCAAGGAGCAGGGAGTTGGACCTGATGATCATCTTGGGTCTCTTCCAACTTGACATATTCTATGATTTGCCGGTATGTATTTTCAATGGATTGGACAGATTCTAGGAATCATAAAACAAGCTCAAGCGTCAGCACTTCCTTATCCCTGCTGCATTTTGTGAGAAGCCAGGACCCAATGAGAACCATTACCTCAACAGTGATCATGGCTCTGACACCTGTAAGATTACCTTGAGCAAATCACTTGTCTTCCCATGCAATCTAAAAATGCCTATAAAACTTAACATTCTACACATGTTCCATAGGACTAACAAAGTGTCAGTCCACACTTCTTCAGTCAAATTCTTGAATGAATGAAACTGTTAGATTCCTGCAATTAGACACCTTAAAAATCTTTACCTTTGCTCCTGTTGCACCTAACTTTCCAACAGAGCCAGGTGAACCTGGGGGCCCCTGACTGCCCTGTAACAAGAAGTATCAGTTAAAAGATGCACAATTAAGAAATCAAGGGCTCAGCAGCACTCAAGGATTCATTGCCACTTGAAATAACTACAGAATCAATAGAAATATTAGTGCATTTACGGGCTGTTGAGGACCAGAGTAAGAGTTACTGGTCACTATGTTATTCCACTTCCTGTTATCTGTATAACTGCTGCATAATTCTCAAAATGCTATTAGTATGCCATAAATGCTATTTTCTATCTACATAAATACCTAGTGAAGACATGCATATGTGCACAAAAAATATGAATATGCACATATAATGGGGTACCTAAACCTGAGCATCATTACTTGACAGAAGCAAATGACCAAGGCTGACAGTGTAGGACATTCCAGCCCTGAGTTACACTAGTGTAACTCCAGACAAGAAACACCAAATCAACAGCATCACACAAGGGAGAAGATCAGGAGGCAGTGCTTAAACATTGCAATCTCATCATGCTCTAGCATAAAGCCTCACAGGACATACTTAAATGAAACTACTGATCATTATATAACTTTGGTCTCAACTACTCCACTGTACGTCTGTATTTATACATACTGCAAGCCATAAACCTAGTCCTAATACTAGAGAACTGAGGGTGGAATCTAGAGTAAAGGTTTTCAGTGCAGTAATGGAAAAGCTTGGTAACACTGAAGTTCACTTCCCATTCACCTACCTAAACTTATTTTCAAGGCTGTTATCTTATCATTTGAGGCTGCAAATCAGTTTCCTTAAGTACTGCACTGAAAACCTCTCAGTTTCTTCTTTCTATGTTTTTTTTTTAAAATCCCTTTATAAGTATAAAACCAACATTGAGAACCAAAATCCCTAATGTGTGCAGCGGGAATATATTATTTAAAGCTAACCAGAGGGCCTGGCATGCCTTGTGGTCCTGCAGGTCCTCTGATTCCTTGTGGTCCTCTTGGGCCCTGATGTAAACAAAGTCATTAAAAAAAAAAGAAGTCAGTTCAATGTTGACAGCCTTTCATTGAAAATCAGATTGCTGTAATGGGCAGAATCTAAGTGCCTGTTTTGCAAGCCTTAATGCTCAGGTGAAATTTCTGTCTGTTTGGTTGTGAGGATTTGCCTGTGTGAAGCAGCTCAGATAGTCACTGCCTGAGGGCCACATTCAGAGAGGCACTGAAGTGTTTATGATACCAAGGGAGTCATAAGCAGTCCACTATCAACTAGGCACACTTTCTGCAGATCTTAAAACTTAACTTATACTTAAAAGCATCTTTAGATCATCTTAAAACTGGAAGTAAGGAGTCTACCACGATAATTCCCTTCAAAATGACTCCACCTAGCAAAAACACAAGTCTTTCCTCATTGTTTTTGTCAATTGGTAAATAATTTACATGATTTTAATGCACCCTGGAAATACAGTATATTCAACAATGCAATAGATTTTATGTACCTATTGCTAACAATTTCTAATGAATTCATTTTGATGATATCTGTTTGATAATATCCTGAAATTTGGAGATGTGTTGGCTAAATTACTTATTTTTGCTGTTAATTTTCCTCTTTTAATTTCACTAGAAGCTGCACCCACATAACTTGCCATATTGAATTCCTCAGCGTGACAGAAGAGATTTGCCAAGGAAGAATCTTACTCATAATATTCCTTAGCTGAAGTAAACAAAACATTCCAAAAGAAAAACAAAAGATCATGACTGATAATTCATCTTCTCCACAGCTAACCTAAAACCAACTCAGAAGTTCTATTAGTTACCTGTGGGCCTGGAAGACCAGTCTCTCCTGGGAAACCTTCTTCCCCCAATTCTCCTTGCTCACCCTGCCAAAACAAAACCCAAGGCAACAACAAACCCAAACAAATTAGCCCTTGTCATCTGTACATCAAAAGATAATAATTTCATATCTGTAAAAAGCATCAGTTGACAGAATGTTTTTCAATGCTTTCAAACAGCTTCAGATTCCTGTTGAAGAAAGCTCAATCAAAAAGTAAAAGAGTTGAGTAGCTTTTTATTGCTCTTTAGGGGATGTGAAGAATATAAAAACTGCAGCACAAGAGGTCAGTTCTATCTGCTTTGCATTTTGTTGAACACATTTTACACCATGTCTCAGCAATATTCCTGCGTTACCCTTGTCCATGTCCACTGCAAAGACCATGAGAAATCATAAAACCAGGACCACAAGGGCAGACCCTCTCCCCTTATCCATGAAGAATGACTCTGAGTGGGAATTGTGACTTCACAATCATCATAGAATTGGATGATTTTATACTCCCCAGTTTTCACTCTCGTTATTTAGTGAGGCAAGTCAAATTTTCCTTGATGATGGAAACAAACCAGTTTTCCAGCTCTCATCTCCATAAAGCTGTCGTCTGAAGATGAGAAAGTTTAGCTGACATCCATGAGAAATATTTGCTGTCTGCTGGATTGAGTAAAATGGTGACAATTAGCACCAAAGTATTCCAGGCCTTACAGACCTCCTTTCACTGGAGAAATCATAAACATTTGTCTGAAGATTTCTGGGAAATAGAGGGTTCTGGAAAGAATCTCCTGAGGAAACCTGCATTTGAAAGGCTTGAACTTCCATTCTCTACCACACAAATGGCATTCAAGATAACAACAGAAAAAAAAGCCAAAAGGAATAAACAAAGTTAAATTATAGACAGAGTAACAATACTGTAAAACAGAACATGAATAAGCAGATGTTATTGCCAGATGAAAAAAGAAATTGAATAGATTTCCACAAAAATCATTATGACTATAATGAAAATGATTTCTTAGGCACACTCTACTAGAATCCAAAACCAATAGAATTTCAGCTGCTGAAATTTACTTTGAATCAAACCCAGAAAAGAGGCTGTGCTTTACTCTTCTCAACACATTTTTCCTCTCTCTCATGCTTTCCTTTATCGCATTTCCATCTTCACTGTCTTGCTCTGTTTTCAGAACACAGACTGCAGTGTTGTTCTTGTCTGTAGAAGACACTTCTTGGACACTACATCACATCTTCTGTTCCTTCTGACTGCTGACTGCTTCTGACTGTTAAGGATGCCTAGCTATACTGCTTTATTTTATTTTTTAACAATTTGGAAAAGTAAGCCTCCCTTTTGTCACAAAAAATGGACAGATAATTTGAACTACAAGTCCTGGGAGAAGTCATGTTCAGAGTATGGTGAAAAGTGGTGTGTTCATGCTGACTGCAAGGGAAGTTAATGGCTTTGTTGAGAAGTACCTTATTTCTGTGCCTTTTATTAACAGCTAAACCCAATACAAGTCCTTAGGCATTAGCTGGGTGAATGCTGTGTCACTGTCCCTAATTTGATTATTTGTTCCCATATACATTACCAATAATATCTGTCTTAATGTAAAAGAGGGATTCCTTTCCATTCCATTTCAGCACAAAACCTTCCTCTTCCAGAATGACTGGTCATACAATATTTCCTTACAAAGACAGATACTGTGGTCCACAGAAGGCCCCCTTGAACACCTCACAAACATCAGGACTAATTAGTTCTTCTTCCTGGCCCAGGGACACCCAGAGGATGTCATAGCAAAGTTCTAGACTTGTGCTGAGTCTATCTCTGTGGCAGCTTTGCAAATCTCTGCCATGCAAGAGATCCCAGTGGGAGGACACAACACCCAAAATCTTACCCAAGGATGGATGACACTGTCAGGGTTCCTGACCTATATGTTCCATCTAGGTCCTCCAGGAGATGTGGAAGACAGAAGTGTCTTTGCCATTCCTTTTTACACCTCTTCAGTGAAGGACATTTACATCAGCTGTGTTCTGAACATGTGTAGGGAGGGACCTTAGTTTTTAGTGATTAACTGACCCATGCAAATGGAATTTTTTTGTTTTTAGTGCCTACTGACCCATGCAAATGGAATTTTTTTGTTATACTTTTAGAAGTCAAAGCTGGTCATCACGTACTTGAATGAAAACAGTTTGGAAGTTCTCAGTTGTAGTGAGGTTCAATCACCTTTCTTGTTCCCCACCATATTACAAAAGGGTGGCCTCATCACAGGGTTGTTTCAGAAGGTTCAACTAATTCTGTACTCTATGTCCTACTGACCCATGCAAATGGAATTTTTTTGTTATACTTTTAGAAGTCAAAGCTGGTCATCACGTACTTGAATGAAAACAGTTTGGAAGTTCTCAGTTGTAGTGAGGTTCAATCACCTTTCTTGTTCCCCACCATATTACAAAAGGGTGGCCTCATCACAGGGTTGTTTCAGAAGGTTCAACTAATTCTGTACTCTATGTTTTTACTAAATGAACTGAGCATTTTTATTTTCTAACCACATCAGAGTTCTTGTGCTTGTTAGTACAACCAAGATAAGGCACAAATCCATTTCTACAGACTTCAGTTTTTGTCCTGTTATTCTCATAGCTTACTTGTATTATTTCTTTCTGCTGGTACCTGACAGAAAGATGCAAACAAAGATCTTCAGAGTTCAGCAGCAATCAAATGGAAAGACAAAAAAGCACAAAGTTTCATAGTTACCTAAGAAATTTCTGAGTTATTAAGCAAGAAATGAAATAATTAAGAGGCAGGCTTGGTGAACATTCTTCAGTATTTTTCATCTAAAATGCCTTTATAAACCATATAAAGACTTTCTGAGATAGTAATAGGAAACAGTAACTATGAAAACTCATATTCTTTCAAGTTACACTGATCCCTGTGAATAGCCAAAGCATGGAGCTTTGTACCCACTGGCAGATAGTGTCAAAATCTTCCAGTCTATTGCTGTCTGCAATATCCCAGACAGTGAAAATTCTGGATTCTCAGAGTGAAATCTAAATTGGGACTTTCAGAAACCAGATGGGGATAGGGGGTTGGGCACAAGGCATACCTGCATATTCCATAAAGCTGGGATGTGTATTTGGGGAAGTTACAGGACCCTCACTTTTGACTGGCATTTCCCAGTAAAAAATTCATTGATATCAGTTTAAATGTAAGAAAATTGTGTTATCTTGCTGCAGCTCACTGGAAACTGTAATAAATGTAGAGCAAATCTGCTCCTCTCAACAGGAGAGGAACAGGAACTCCAGAAATGGGAGTTAAATCAACCACTGTGCTGCTGAAGAAATACTACTACCATAAAAGACACCTCATCCCTCCCAGCAGCCTTTTTCCTTTGCTGAAATTTATGTTCTATACTGCATCATCATGGTTATTCTTGCTGCTATTTATCAATATTTTACACTTGGCCTTCAGTTTAAATGCTTATTGCTGTTGCAGAAAAAAACCCACTCAATCCATGCAAAAGTGTCATGAAAAATCATGAACCTTTTGCCAAAGTTCAGAAAAAACCCCACTCAATCCATGCAAAAGTGTCGTGAAAAATCATGAACCTTTTGCCAAAGTAAGAACATGGCAACAACTTCAATTTATGTACTGCATCCACAATAAAAAAACATGAGAAATTGTGCAAACTTATCAAACTGAGCAAACTGTTACCAGTTAATGTGTTTTATGCAGGCCAAACATTTTCATATTGTGAACTTTGGTCAATGAAACAGGGCTTTGGCAAGGAGTTTGAAAAAATTGCTACTCGAGTGCCTGCACATCATTCTGTCTCCTCTTCGATACAAGGACTGAACTGGTTGTGTATGAGGATGTCTTGGAAAGAAGAGATTGGGTAAAACTGGTCTGAATTTTTACCTGACCTTGCTTATGAGTGAAGAGTTAAATAGAACAGCCTCTGTTTAGAGGCTACAGCTCTGTCCATTCCCCAGACTCCAACACAGGGCAGAACTTCAAGATATATTCCATCCTGCTGGTACTGACAGTGTCGCAGACAAAATAGCAGTGCTTCTCTTGGTTTATATGTACTAAGATTAAGGGGAAATGTTATACAAAGACATCTTCCTTCTCTGTGTTAGCAGCTCTGCAGAGAGATTGGGTCAAATGTGAACCACTTGCACTAAATCAATGTTTCCTGGAATTATCATATAACCTGTACTTGAGAATTCTTAGAATTTCATTTTTACTTGCATTAGTCTGCTCTTAAACATGCTACCTTTAGATTTGCTTTGATAAGTGTGTTTTGTAATTTGTACCCTAGGACAAACAAGTTTCTTTTCCAAGAAAATTATCTGAATCATCATTTAAGAGAATGGCTGTGACGTCTTTACCAAGTATGTCTCAGGAAAGTTTCTTTTCATTGTGACTCTATGGGGCATAGGTCCAGGAAAAACAGGGATACCACCTAACAATGACATGAGAGAATTTTTCACCAGAGGATCTTTCTGGAAGGATCAGTCAGCATGCACTGGTGTGGACCTATTCCTTCCATCCTATACCAGCATCCAAACTATACTATATTCTTTTAGATATCAACTTGGGAAATTAAATTATCTCCAAAATCTTGATTATTTTAAATACGTTGAGTCAATTTTCAGAGCTGCAGTTAACACTGCTATGCTTATTTTTAGCACAGCATCATGTAGAACTTGCCTTAGTTTTATCTCTGCTGCATGTGTGCATCATGCATATATCTGTGTTCATGCAGCAGAGGAATGAACTGTCCAACTTTGCAGCCTGACTACTCATTCCTGTCACCTTTAGTGACAGTCTTTTCTCTAGTTATGTTCCCACATTTGCCCTAATAATAAAAGTAACTGTCCTTTTATTTTGATGAAAGCTCTTTTCCAATTCTAAATCTTTCAAGACAGGAGGGCCTCAAGTGCATCCACCTGAGATCCAAAGGCTACCTTGGCTTGAAGGAGACTTTTGATTGTTAAACACCTGTGTCTTGCATCACATTGAAATATCTCCCTTAAGTGGTGCAGATACTCAGGCTGGACGTGTAGCTGCATATAGATAGGTAGCAGCAGCATCAGCCACTCACCTTCATACCTGGAGGGCCTCTTCGACCTGCTGCACCCTAGGAAGGAGTGGCATGAGAGATTACATCCAGAACACTCAGCCATATTTGAAACAACAGCTTATAATAAAATACATTATACATACAATAAAATCAAATACAGATTACAGAAAGTAGAGATTATTTCCAAAGAAAGGTTTAAGGTAAAAATGAGAAAAAAGTGGATTTGGGACAGATATTCTTACACAAGTAAGCCTTATATAAAAGAAAAAAAAGTTTTAGACTGTTAGTGAGTGCAGAAGGAAGATATTTCAACAAAATTCTGGAAAACATCTTCCCAGTCAGCTTCCCCTTGGCTAAAATAAAAAGAACTTCTCTCCCTCTGAGCTAAGAGGTTTGCACTGCTTACCACTGCACCCTGCTTAGCAGCACTAGTGAATGTTACTGTTAAGCCTCACATCACCAGAGGCCTTTAGGAGGTTTCTGCAGCTTGACTGAAGAGTGATCATCATTCCAGACTTTGGCATTAGGCCCCATTCTGACAGACAAGCAGAGGTGCTTTCATAATTTCTAGTCTCCAGTGAACTAAAAAACAGCAGCTCAGCTGCCAGTGAGTTTATATATGTGCTTGAACAGGCATACAAAACTTGCAGTCACAGGGAGGAAGAAGAGGAAGATTTATCCATGGTGAAATTATGAAGCAATTAAGGCTCATAGAACAGGTTGCACTGAGTTTAAAGTTTGTGACTTCACATGAATCAGACCTGAAATTCATAGGACAGCAAATTGATAATTGTAAGAAAACAATCTACACTGCAATATACATAAGCCACTAAATTTGAAGCCAAATATGTTTCACTAGGAAAATATTAGAAAATTTTTGTTCCATCTCCTTGCAGGAGTTTGAAGTGTGGGATAAAAGGAAGAAGAGAAAATGGGTTTTGTCAATGGAACTCCACTGTGCCAAGATACCCATCAGTTACTTCCACCCCATATTGATTACTGTTCTTACATCAGGGCCAGCATCACCCTGCTCTCCTTGGAGTCCACGTGGGCCTGGGTCTCCCTGCAAAACAAAGTAATGAACAAGCTCTTTAAACACTCCTCCCTTTTTCTTGTACTTGCACATTCTTCTTTATACATTCCTTCTTTGTTTCTTCCTCTAAGTATTTACATTGCAATCAGTTGTGTCATGCTAAATGTTGATTCTTGTGTTCTGCAAATCATTTACAACCAAAAATTATAAACCAGGCAGATCATGCTTGCTTTGAATTGTCAATCCATCAGTTACCAACAGCTGATACTTGGTCAAGGCTTCTGTGAAACTATTTTTGTTGTCTTCAGCCTTTCAGTTGGACTTTTTAAAAAGAGAAAGTTTGATGATATTTCCTTCCAAAGAGTTATCAAAACCCAATTATTCTCCAAAACGTAACCCTCACAGCTTTTCTGCTGCTTTCAACACACTCTTCATAGACATATGCACACAACCCTACTTGTTCAGATAGAATCGTACTTCTAAAATAGTGGATTTTTCTCACATATTGCTAATCCTCATCTTCTTAAACTTTCATATGCTACTGTCCAGCTACTTAACAGTTTATTCTTTATGAACAAAGTGTAATGGTAGAGCAGGCTTTGCTTTTCTGTTATGTTTCTTTTCTCATACTATTGCTCAAACACCTCTTAAAAACTCAGACATCTCTATATAAACATATATCCCAGCTCTTACATTCTACATACAGGTCAAAGTAGAGTTTATCCACCACCCTGAGGAAATAGAAATTCCATAGCAAAATAAGTACAGCCTGTTGATACTCAATGCTTTTTTCCCAGCATGATGTTTAACAATATCCTCACAATCCATTACTAGAAGCTTCTCAGGTTGCTGATGTAAATTTGAGGTAGAATAATATATTTTATAGTAAATGCATATTTTACTCTAGCAAGCACTTCTCAAAGTTTCCTGTATTGCAGACAAATACTAAAGGCAAAATGCAAAATAAAATAAAGTTTGCAAGAGCTTCTTGGTCATTGGAGAACCAACAGAACTTAGCAATTATGCAAAACCTCTCTCCATAATATAGGACTACTTGCTTACCTGTGGTGCTAGGTTTCCCTTGTCACCCTTAAGACCAGTAACATTATTGTTAGCCCCAGGATCTCCCTGGAAAAGTTAAATGGAAAGCTCAGCATTCTTAGTGACCACACCTTTACTGCTTTGATTACAGAGGCAGGATATGGAGGCAGAATTAATTAGATTTGTCATTGCAGACAGTAAGAAATAAAAAAGTTGTTTTAAAAGATGATGCTTGTAAGAAAACTATATAGGTAGTTCTGAAAATTCCACAAAGTTCTTTTCCAAAGAGATTTAAAAAAGTTGCTAAAGGACAACAAATTAAACCTGAAAATGTGAAGCTGTTCTGCTTGATCTGGTATAGTTAATTGAGTTAACACCATAACTCATCAGAATGGAGTTCCATTTAGCCACTTAATGCTAGACACAGGTGAAATCCTGATCTCTCTAGGATGCAAATTACCATGACACCTGAATTATTTTTTTAATATAAGCCTTAGAAGACCATCAGTCAACACTATATTTGACAGTTTAGAACAAAAATCTTGGAAATACATGTGCAAAGACATAAAGCTGTGGCACAGGAAGCATGATATCTCCACTGAAATTTTAGTCCTTAGGGACTGCATTTATACAGAGCTCTGGAGAACATACAGAATAAAATGTCAGCCAAAGAAGTAGCTTGCCTTTGCATCATTATAAATTGCTAACCAAAAGCACAGGGTTTTCAAATGGTCTAAAATTCCTCTCTAATGTGGGAACCACCAGGAAAGACTGGTCTAGTCCAACTGATTTTTCACTAGACCATCTAGTCGAGTGGGAGGTGCCCCTGCCCATGGCAGGGAGTGTGGAACTTGATGGTCTTTAAGGTCCCTTTCAACACAAGCCGTTCGATGATTCCATGATAAGCAGCTCCAAAAGGAGTTATGTTGCCCATGGTAAAACCAAACAAATTAATAAATAAAACAAAAATGCAAGGAACAAGCAGGAGGCTTGAAGCTTAAATACCTGCTTCCAAGCAACACATCAAAACATCTGCATTTGAAGAGTTCAGGCCTCCTGGAATATGCCATACTTCCTGCAGAGTACTGCACTATCTAGGACTGTGAAAAACCCTTCAATTCACACACATTTCAGACACCACCATCACAAAATCCAGGTGAAAATCAGTGCAATTTTGCAAAAATAAAAGAATACACTTACATGATCTCCTCTTAGGCCAGATTCTCCTCGTTCACCTGGTTCTCCCCTGGGGCCTTTTCTGCCCTAAATTCATGAAAAGAGCACAAGCAATTCTAGTACCAGTATAAATAGTATCTGTGGTAGAGGAAGGCCAGATAAGAGAACACAGATCTGTTGATGTCAGTGGAGCTACACTGATTTACGGCAGGAGTCACATCGTATAAGAGGAGAGACAGCTATTAAAAACAACTCATAGGCATTACAGACAGCACTACACTTTCGAAAGATGCTTCCATAAAACCCAAACATTTCTGCAAATGGTACTTCACCCATTTTCCTGTGTTGCCCTTCTCTCCAGATGGTCCAGGAAAGCCACGTTCTCCCTAGACTCACAGAGGGCGAAGAAAGAAAAAGAAATTAATGGTTGTTCTTTCTGGAAAATGTGGTTCTCCAATTTTGTCTGGCAGAATCCAACTTCAGTCACTTATGCAAGTCTGAACAAAAAACAAAGGAATTTCTACTCAGGATTAAAGCCCATTGAAGGCACAAAATCTGTACTTTTGAACCCTGAGGTAGGTGTGTCTAATTGCACTGCATATTTAAAGCAATGATTACCTGCTCTCCATCAGTGCCATCAAATCCACTCTCACCATGTTCACCCTGTAGCAATAAGCAAAAAAAAAAAAGCCTATTAGCATCTGTCCACTTGCCTCTGTGAGCAAGGGAAGAAGCTTTCACCCTACATTTGCAAACTTGAATAAGATTATTGTTTTTCAATGGCTAGCAATAATAATGAAGAATAATAATTACAAATTGGAATCAATAATTCAGATTTTTAATGAATTAAGAACATCTAAAACAATTAATAGTAAAAAACCCTTAGTAACAACAACAGTTATTAAAACTATAGATTTTCATCATATTTAAATACTGATTTTCCTTCTAATAGTTTTCAAATCTTTTCCTGACTGCAGCACCTTCAAACTCTAGATATATTCCAAAATATAATGACTAGCATTTGAGCTATCATGCTGATAATCTTGTAATTCTGATGCAAACCATCATATGTGTTTGCATTGTCCTTGAGGTTTTTTACCTAGCTTTATACCATGAACAGTACATTGAACAGCTAGTAAGAATAACCATGATTAAAAAAATTACAGAAGGCTGATCTTCGGCTTTAGAGCTATCTAAAGAATCTGCATAACTCTTTTAGCAATGTGATCCTTGTTACAGAAATAGGAGTCATCTTCCCTTTCAAACACACTTTACTTTTCTCTTCCCTTTGTCTGCAAAAATGATTCACCATAGGGAATTCATTTATGGAAGACATTTTCCCACAAAACAGCCATCCCAGCCTTAAGGAATTTGCCATGTTATCTTGTGTGAGGCATCAAATAGAGCTATAACTATAAGAACTGTCTTTTATGTATGCTCCACAATGTTTCAGACCTGGCCAAATAACACACTCGATTTTTAAAGGATATTTTGAGGCGCTTCTTCTGTCTTTCTTTGCTAGGATAAAAATGAAGAAATTACCTGTGGTGTATTAATTTGTAGCAAGAAATCAAATTAGCAGAGAACACTACCCTGAAAGCTGAAATATTCAACACATCACTGAAAGTGGCACTAGAGCATGTTGTAAATGTTAAAACCATCAGGAGTCTCACTCTGATAGAGACCACAGACACAATTGTTTTGTAGGGTTTGATGCTAAATTGACTTTGCAAAACCACCTAGTTCCTGAGGAAAAATTTCATCAATTTATAACAGTTCTGCATGTACAACAAGAAAAAATATCTGGTTGCATATTTTGATAAGATTAATATGTCACAAACAAGAATTTCTTCAATATGTATTCTAGAAAAATTTTGAGCACTATGTAAGAAATCACAACTTTTAATCAAGTGTTATTTCTTCCATCCCTCATATCCTGCCTCAGAAAACCTGAGCCAGACTTCATACTATTAAATATTCATCGTTTCCTTTTTTCTCTAAATAGCTGTACTAAAATGCCTTACAGACTTGAACAAACTGCCTCAACCGTACTAAGTTAGCAAAATTGAATCACATTTTTTTGTGTGCTGAAAGTTTCATATTTTTAGTTAAAATAAAATTAGTGGATATAAGGATACAACATAAGGAAGATATTCACATATTTGTTGGATTTCAGTAGGGTTTGTGCACATGGTAAGTCCTGCTGCACTATTCAACTTGGACAAATCAAAATAATCAGGACGCACTCTCCCTCTTCTGTAACCAGATGTTTCAGATATTTAAAGGAGAAATTACTTCAGAAAACAGAGCAGAAAATGGAAAAGGAATGAAAAATACATGAGAAGATTAAAAAGTTAGTACAGAGCAGCACTTTAAATAGAGCTGAGGTATCAGAAACACTCTCTGAACTTTCTCACATGTACAGCTGCTCAGTTTTGGAGGCAAATATCTTCTGAGCCTTTGAGGCTCCCAAGTCTTTTTTAGAAGTGGTTTTGTATCAAACCATTCAATTCAAGTTAATTCCATTTTAATCACTGGAGCTTGTGAACTAATATTGCCATTATAGATCATTGTCTTCCAGGGTTCAAATTGTATTAATGAATTGATGGCAATGTCTCTTTGATGAACAGGTATGTTTGAAAGCTTAAATAAGCAGACTTGCAGGATCAGTGAAAGAGAAAAACAGCTCAAAGAGAAGTTTTGGTATGTCAACAATGATCTAGTGAAAGTGCTGTCCAAACTCTCAAAAAATATGAGTCACAATCTTTTTTTCCCACCTGTTCCACTTCCTCAACAATTAGAACATGAGATTCAGCTGACCAGAATTACCACCTTAGACTAAATCAACTATGACAGTAACCATATAAAAATATAAACGACTGCTAATTTTGATTGATGTGATAGGTATGTTAAATCCATTCTTATACAACCATAGCAAAAGTACATTATGTGCTCTGAAACTTCTGCAGTTTTTCTTCCTTGTTGATAATTTCATTTTAAAAGGTAACATGAACTTAAAAGAAAGCAGAACACTGTTCTCAAAGAAAATTGAACACACATGAAAACACGTACCTGATTTCCTCTATAGCCTCTGGCCCCCTGAAATTGAAAATAAACATAGATGAAATTTGGTGAAAGTACTTTCATTGAGCTTGAAAAGCAGCTTGAAAAGCAGGACACAGCAGCTTGCTGTGCAGAGGCATGCTGGGCTCAGTATTGGTAGTCCCTACTGTAAAACTCTCTACTGCCACATATGGGATTTATGCCTTTCCTGTGGGAAGACAGTACAGCCTTCATTTTCATTTCCATTCCATAGAGCTTTATAGTTTAAAGTAACTCTGGACTTGGTGGTAAAAACGGCACTGGCAAGTTGCTGAGCCAGCAAAATCCTTAGCTATTTGACCATGCTTTGGTTACACAAAATACCTCTCAAAATGAGACAGCCAAAATTGTTTTCCATTTTTATGGCTGTGTCTTGCTTTCTGTTCATGCTTCAGGAATATAGCACAGGGATTTGTCCTCAGTAGAGAAAACAGGTTTGTGGGAAACAAAAGCAGGAAATGCTTCCAAGTTTCATACTTGCCTTATGGCCTCTAGCACCTGGACATCCCCTGTCTCCTTGAGTCCCACTGAAACCAGCTGGGCCTCTCTCCCCCTACAAAACAAAAGAAAATGTTCATTCTTATCCATACAGTGATGTTTACTGGATAAGTCATCACATAAGATTATAGCAAATCATTCTCATCCATACAGTGATGTTTACTTGATAAGTCATCACATAAGATTATAGCAAGAGAGAACTGTATCACTATTTACTGCACTAAGGACACAAATGCAAGTAACCTGGAAATTTTCACACAGCCCACAAGAGAACAGTCAAGTCCTGGTTTGAGTTGCACCCAGTTTTCTGCTCTCACTATCATGCCATGTTTTATACTGCACTACCAAGCTCTGACTGATGTCTCTGTACTTGAATGTAGGCCTTTTGGTGGGATGGGTTTTTAACTGAATAACTAACGACAGTGATGTGCAGAGGCACAGAGAAGCTGATCCATATATTTACCTGCAGATACATGTTGCTCAAATGCATTTTGGGTTAACACTGATGAATACTCAGTGAATAAGTGCAGACAGGTTCAGGCATCAACAAACAATATTGCAGCAGAAAGAAATATGTTTACTTACAATCCCACCTTCCTCACCAGGATGGCCAGTGGATCCTCTGTAACCTGTACCTCCCTGAAAAATGAGAAGTTAAAAGATACATAACACTGTTCCCCAAGCACACTGGATTAATTTCTACCAGATTACTCTGCACAGAGAGATAGAAAACATTTCCTGAAAATTAGATCTGGTTATGCTGAGAAGGGCAGGCTCCATCAGCTACATTTACACAGACACTCTGCACAGTCCTATGTATTTGACACGACCATGAAAAAAAACCAAACACAAAACCAACAAAACAGCAATGATCAATACAAAATTTCAGTATGTTATTTCAGGAAACTGTCTGATGGCTTAATAAAGCTCTTTGGGATATTTGGTCAAAGTAAATACCTTTCTAGTGATTTGGAAAAGGAAGCATTACACAGTAATGAAATTCCTAGGTGAAATGAGAAATCTAAGGAGTTGAAAACGTTTCAGGGCAAAATTGTTGCAATGGCTTACAAAGACACAGGAATATTGCAACTTTCTATTTGAAGCCATGCAAAGCTCATACCCATAGGGCAAATATGTGAACAGATAGAAACTGGAACAAAGGGAATTGCTAGGAATGAAAATCAAGAAAATGAACAAAACTGAGACATGAATTTGTGCTGCAAAAAATGCTTTCAGAATTGTAAGCTGTACAACCCAGGCATCAGGTCTGTCTGCCTACAAAGCAACTATGCTTACATTCTGAACACTGTTTGTCTAAGCACCTTAATGTAGCCTTTTAGTAAAACAGAGAGGTGTAAGAAAATCAACAAGAGTAATGGAAGGAATCAGTAAATTGGTTTAAGAATAAATATTAGAAGACTATACTTTTGTTAAGAGATAACCCAAAATTCATTCAACTGCAGCCATGTAACTGAAGAGTGTTAACTACACATAAAATTTACATAGCATGCTACTGGAATAAGTAGAAATAATGGAATGGATAGTAGTCAAATGGAGATGACATACACTAAAAACCTTAATAATGAAGTCTACTAGCATGCTGTAGAAGTAGTGACATATGTAATACTCAAAAGGCCTAAAACACACAATATAAAATCTTAAAAGAAATATGTTAAATGAGTACTGTTTTGGATCAAAAAACTTACAGAAGAGGATATAGGCATTATATCTGGCATAATAACTGGAGGCACAATAGAACAAGGCACACACCTAGTGAAGAAGGGTTATTTTCTACTCTCAGCTTGTTGGCTGAAAGTGTCACATTGCGAATAGCTAATAACCCTCTTGGTTAATCAGACTTTATTTTTTTTAATCCCTCTCCATTTTCTGCTGAATTGCTGAAGGAGAGTGCTGAATGATTTTTGTATGTACAAATAATTTTCGTTACAAACATACTATTGCATAGGAACATGCAGCAGAGAAATGATCACTTTTCATGTTTCTCCTTCATTTCTCCTAACAATAAAGGTCATGCACAGATGCCTGCATGCTCTGAAGCGCTACAAAAAATGGAAACACTTTGAAAAATAAAGGAATTATTATGTAATGTCTAAATTGCTCCTACCTTGCTTCCAGGACTTCCCCGAACACCACGATCACCATTTTCTCCAAGGCATTTACAAAAAACCTCACAGCATTTCCTTTCTGCAACAGTATCCTAAAAAAAATGACAAGAAACATTTCATTTATGTATATTAATCATAAAGCAAAGACTGATTTTTTTCTCCCTTTTTGTTTATATCACAGAAGGACTTACAAGGTTTCTCTGCAAGATGTTTGCAATCTCTGTAAACCCCACACTCAGAGGTTCATTGTATCCAAACCCTCTGCCAAACTCTATTTCCCAAAATTCAGTCAAGTTCTGTGTATTGTCCAGGCCAACTAACAGAAGTGCATCAAGACCTTCAACATAAGCACAGATTTAAATTAGTGAATGCCTCAAATATAACAGCAGTTCTCTAAAAGACTTACGTTTCATGGCTTCAGCACAGTATGTTAAAAGAAATCAAGCTATTGAAACAATGTGTAAGAGAATAACCCAAACCAGTAATTTTCCAATTAACTTCTCTCCCCGGTTGTCAGACCAGACTGCTGCTCTGTGCACAAACACAAGTGTTTCATACTGTAGAAGTCAGTGTTGTGACTAATCTCTGGTGCTGTACTCATTGGTGAGTATGTGAAATTGAATATTGCCCCAGGTGTTGGAGCTGGACTCCAGAAACTAGAACCTCTGCATCCCTAGGTGTGTTTCTGGCATCATCTGCCAAACAGTGACAAGTCATCCTGTACTCTTGTTCACATGGAGAAGCACTCTCCCAGTGGCTCCTGAAGAATGCTACATGAGTGTGGAGAGGTAATGTTATGTGGAAAATTTGCAGTGGGGGAGCAATATGTTGGGCCTTTGACAGTAGGAGGTTGGAGCATCAACCTGGTACTGTAATACCTTTAAAGCGAAGTGAGTCAGCTGCTTTCCTGAGATCTTCCAAAGAATCATCCAGCCCATCTGAAAATACTAACAGAACCTGTCAGAAAAGGGAGTAATACCAAGTCAACTAGAAGGAATTGAAAGTTCAGCCATTGAAAAAAGTACAGTTTGCATTGAAAACTGGCTACAAGGTGGTTAAATTGCACTACACTGTGGTAGATCTGAAATGTGTGCTGGAAAAAAAGTGCTGAGGAGCAAAAAGCCTCTCTTCCCTGACAGTACTTCCATTTGAGGGATTTGTCTTCCTGAACAGTTCATAGCATGTGAGGTGGAAGGTGAACTCTGCTGTGACTTATCCTCTGAGAAGCTTTCTCCGATGTCTAAAAGAGTTCTGCTTTATGTGAATGTGGGGAAGAACTTCAAGCGGACAAAATTTTCCCATTTCTTCAAGCGCAGCTCCAGCTGGCTGTCAGGAAGTGCATCCTCTCTGGATCCCATACTCCCATCCTGCAGATGCCTGTGTACCCTTGCACTTCCCACATAGGCAATGCATCACCCTGTTTCACTCTCTGCCATATTTTTCCTTGCAAAGACATGTCTTAGCTCACCTATGGATGCTAAACATTTTTGTAGGCTACATTTCCACATTTTCAGGCCAAAGAGCTACAGTTAAGCCTCTTTCAGGACTGAGGAAAGCATAATTTCCTACAGTTCCCCTCCAGGCTACTAATCTCTTCCCATTTCTCTCTTTACATTCAAACCAGTAGAAGACTTCTCAGGCCCCACTCACCCAGTGGATTAGTTTTGCCAGAAAGAGGCTACACAGGTAAATGGTAATGATTTGAAGTCCTCCTGAACTCTCTGACCAAAACGTGGACAAGCACAGCTAGAGCTTCTTCCCTCCTATCCTTTGTATTTTACATTTCCTATACAAGGCACACCTTCAACCAATGCAAACTCTGTTATTTCTGTTAAGCTAAACTTTTCCACAGGTGACAAAGGCAAATGAAGTGACTGCCACACCAAACATCCCACTTCTGTGCTAAAGCAGAAAGGAGACAAGAATTTAAGAACTGGCAGAGCTAACTGGTTTTGGTGGTGGAAAATTCCCAAATATCCAATATGGAGCCACTGGTACTGATTCTACATTTGCTCAAGCACAGTGTGATACAGTGGAGAGCTGGCTCATGGGTGGGTAAACACATCACAGACTGTTACAAACAGCACTGTAGGCCTGGGATCAATGCTTTTTTTTTCTATGATCTTTTAGTTTAAAAACATGGGGAGCAGGGAATGTGGGGTGTTAGTGTGGGCATTCTATGTAAATATATGTAAACATATTATTATGTATACAAAGCTTTTGTTTATATAAAGCTCTTCTTGGAACTCTTGGAACTTTTTTGCAAAACAAAAAAATAATAAAGAAAAGAAGAAATGCAAACAACAGAGAATCACTGTCCCTGATGAGGTTTATAACTAATAATCCTTACAGTATAAGCATGTTATTGCTCAGGATCCTAGGGAGATTAAATTGCAATTTCATGTGCATTCTGAGCTCTTGTATTTTCAATTTGCACATAAATGGTATCAGAAAGGAATATTAATTCACTGGTAAAGTGCTGAGATATGCAGAATATTTATTTCTAGTAAAAATGCATAAGCAGAATGGAGCCTTACTTGACTCTAATCTTCAGAGCTGGCAATTAGGAGAAAAAAAAGCTCTGCTTTTACTTGTATGTCAAAAAAGTTCTCTCCCTGTGGCTCAGAAGCAGCAAAATCTTATGTGGTCATGTTCCCTGTTCAGACTTTCTAATAAATCTTTGGGGGGAAAACAATTAAAAACGCACCAAATGACAACCTAAATTGATATGCCACACCTATGCAAATGCTGTGAAAAATAGAATGCCAACTTTCATCTGAAAGCAGGGGAATTTGAAGTATGGATTTCTCACCCCATATCACATTAAAATCAGCATGTTATGAAAGTTAAAATAAGGTTGATAGAGGAAACCCCCTATGTATTTTGCAAGGACTAACCAGTCGTTCCTCAGCAGGGAGGTTTTCCTGCATTGAGGTCTTAGTAAATGGCAATCTTCAAACAGCTACTACAGGACGTGCTCAGTGCTTTACTGAGTCAGTGCCTTACCAAGAATAAATTATCAGGGTGATGACCCTGAAACACTCCAATGAGATCTAACATTCTTGAACTTAATTTGAAAGAATCCCTATTTACTTCAGAAGAGACTAGATTTATGTTTCTCCCTTCACTTCACTTCAAGATGGATGAATTAACTGCAGCATCTATGCAGATTTTCCTGATCATCAGTTATCCATAAGCAGAACTCAGTTTTGTCATTTGAAATTATTTGACAAGTTAATGACACAGAAAATCTTCTGTAAACAAATTTCCCGGATGACCTTTTTCTGTGACTTCTGCTTAGAGTTGTTACTACTCTGAACAGAAATTCAGGATCAGGATTAAGACTTCCTGAAAGTGAACTACTTTCCACTACTCAAAGTGCAGACATTCCATGGTAAATATAAGAAGGTTTTCTGTATGAATATTCATCATCACATGTATTAAGCCAAATGTTCTGGATACCATCTCAGTGCAGGAGTGCTTAGGGAATTGGAATTGATATATGTTGTTATATCAGGCCAGTGAAAAAACAGGAGGTTCTATATAAACTTGAGGAAACACTTTTTATCATGATAGCGACTGAGCACCTGCACAGGTTGCCTGGAGAGGTTGCGGAATCTCCATTCTTGGAGATACACAAAAGCTCCCTGGACATAGTCCTGAGCAGTGTGCTCTAGTTGACCCTCCTTGATCAGGGGGTTTGGACAAGCTGACTTTCAGAGGCTCCTCCTAACCTCTACCATTCTGTGATTCTGTTTATCAGATTCACCAATTCCTGAACTACATTTTTGTCTCCCTGGAGTACTCAGCATCAGAGGCTGTAAACATCAAACTTCATAATGTTTTCCAAGGTGCATGTGCATACCATTAAGTTACCTTAACTTTAGCAGAAGTCATATTAAAGAACTTCTCCTCAAGTGCCTGCAAGAAGTCTGCATTCAGGTAGGTGTCCACAATGTTCTGTGCATCTAAGAACTTCTGGATGATCTCTTCATTATAGTCTTCAAAACCAGAGTCAAAGATAAATTGTTTGTTCTGTGCCAACACTTGGAATTTGAATCTCATGTTAACTGGAGCGTTACAGCTGGTATTTGGCAACGATTTGATCTGGAGTAAAAGTCTGGGAAGGAATGCTTGCAACCTCTGTTTCAGAAGCACTGTGGGTGCTGGCTGCATGCGCCTTGAGATATCAATTGCTATAGAAAGATCTATGTTGCAATCTGAAAAAAAAAGGTGTAAGAAATAGGAAACTATAAACATACACCATTCGTGATCTTGTTTTTTGTCAGAATCATAGGATTGGGACAAAATTCAACATGATAGATTGAAAACCAGAAGTAAGAATTAGCGAGATAGGTTTTCACTAATCATAAAATACCACCATCCCACAGGTTTCAGTGGGGCCATGTGAACTTGTGAATACTAAGAACTACATTATTGGACATATGCACATGCCCAAACTGCAAAACATGTCACTGTTTTCCAGCTGCCCAATGTCCTCAAAGGGCCTAATCTTGAAAATGTTTCCATGGGCTTTGCTACCAACTGAGAATGTACAACCCATATTCCAGTTGCAATGGGAAGCTCGATGGCTGACTGTGCTTTGTTCCCTTTGTCACAAGACCAGATGATACAAATGTAGAACAACAGGCCAAAGAAACAAACATGAGAGAAAGAGGCTGTTGCCTATATGCAATGTCATATAACCATTGTGAAAAACAGCTGCTGTAAAGTGAGTGCTATCTCAGTTATGGAATTGCTTTCTTAGCTCCTTCTAATAACAGCAAATACTGTCATGTGGTTAATTCCTTCCTTCTCCCCAATCATCTTGCCCTCATGAAACATCTAAACTACATTACTTTTTTCTTCTTTACCTTGATTATTCATTTCTCACATTGAATTTTATTCTGTGCTCCTAGATGCATTATTATTCATTGTTTATCTCTGCAAGGAAGTCAAAGGCATGCAATTTTAGCTGAAAACAGCACTCTATCTAATTTTGTTCCTTCGTCACCCGTCAGCTCTGAAACACTTAAGAATCACAAGGTTGTTTCCCGTGTTTGCTAGTTTGGGCTGGTTCTTACAGACCATTATTCCATACATGTTTTTTACATTTTTCTGAGTTTTCACTCTCCCATGAAAAAGATGAACGTGTTCAGTTCTTCAACCAAATACATCTAGAAATAATTTAACCTCAGAGGGACCATTGTTATGTTTCAATATTTTCACTTGCAGTACAAACTGCCCTTTAGAGGGTATGATCTGCTGCTAAGCTGCATGAAAATCTTCAAATGTAAAAGGTCACCTTGAATGAGTTTTTATGTCTAAAAAATCTGACATTCAGGCCTCAGAGCAGCCTAAAAAAATTCTAAGCAGTGTATCTCTTTAGTCCACAACAAGATAAAAAGTTAAATATATCTATATATGCATACATGTCTACACCTATGAACATAAAATTTAAGGGTTATTTCTTCCAGTATGTGTTCATGTCCAGCACACACAGAGTATGTTTTCAACAATGAGATTTTTCTGAGACCTGGGTCTTTTTAATCACATCATTTGAAGACAGTTCAAGGGGCAACCATGGACTCAGCATTTTTACCCTGCCAAGTGGTCATCCACACTGCTTAGTTCTTAAAACATTCTCTGTCAAGTCCCCAGTGTACCAGCAATAAAACCAAAACAGCAGTAAAGCATTCACTTTTTACGCTACTGTGTTGTGCATGACAATGTGTAAAACAGCTTCTGGTAGGTACACTTTACTCCATTTATAATCTCTATTTATTTGGAGAAGTAAACACCTCTGTGTAGACAAACTCTTTTTTTTAATCACCTGTTCTCCTACAAACATCCACATTGTTCAACTGTCCTGTCTTACTGCTGCAAAGGTACCTTTTCCCCTGTCGACATGCTATACTGAAAATGTGCTTTTTTAAATTGAAAAATCTGTCAGGTTAAGACAAGGTGACTGGAGAAATGGGACTTAATAGATTTATTGCAGGAAAGAAGGTCAGTGAGTATAGGAAAACAGACGACAGGACAAGAAAAAACAGGCTTCACAGAAAGCTGATTTTTGTTTTATGAGATAAATTTATGCAGAAGTTAGCAATAAATACATGCATCGCTGAGATCAAAGCCAAAAAGCTTTCCTTAACTGCTCTCTCTCTCCAAACAAGTGTGCCTGTGAATATATTAAGTTTACTGCTGTATCTCCCATTAAATCTCCTTGTTCTCTGGCCGTGAAACACCAGGAGGTGCTACTGCGTCAGCCACGGTCGGTCACACTGTTCCATGGCAGAGAGCTCTATTTCCACAGCTGCTCCCTCTCCCTCTGCCTTCAGGAGCTGGGGGATACCTTTTCATCTGCCCAGCCCTTGATGAGAGAAAGAGTGGATGGGGGTGCAGAGCTCATACGGAATCAGACCCAGCTGTCCTCTCTGCAAACCACCTGAGCAGACACAATTCATACAGAGTGTTGCTTCTGTCTTTAGGAGGGAAGGCTCAGCTCCTCGTTTGGCCCCAGACACTCCAGCACACACCTGCCAGCTCTGGGGTGTTTCAGATCTCAGTAGCCTAGGGTGCTCAGCTGCTGTTACAAAAAGCCTTAGACAGGCAGTGTGATCATCCCAAAGTTCCTTTCTCACACTAGGTTTCTGGTCACTAAGGGAATGAAGCCTGGAGAGGTGGGTTGGATTTGTTTCATGGTGTAACAAAGAGAACAAAGATCATGTATCCAATACATGCTAAGTATCAGCTGTATGAGGAAAACACTGGGAAGACAACAAGGAGCTTTATAGGCCAGTCACAGTCCCTGTAAGGATGGGCAAAGAGAGAAGAACCACTCCAGAACTGTCTACTCCTGCTATCCCCAATCACTGCCACACACTTACACCACAGCAGGTCACCCTTACCATCAGCACAGAAAGAGCTCAGATTTTTGATTCGTCATTCGCTTAATTTTTTAATTTTTTAAATTTTTTTGCAACTTAACAAACACATCTACAATATCACCCGACTACAGAACTGGCATGAATAATTGTAACTTTGAAGAGCAACTGTGTATATTCTCTGGTTCAGTCTTCCCACAAGACAAGGTAACTGATACCACAGCACCAAGTCAGGATAAACTCAGATACAAACCCAGCATCTGACATCTGATCAAAGACAATACTGAACCTTTAATTTCTTCGGGGTTAGCAGCCTCTCAGGCTATGTGGCATCCAAGCCACTGGTGCCATCAAGATGTAGTAAGAGATACCACTGTCTGGGGGTTTTTTATCTATGAAAAGCTTTTGGGTAGCATCTCAGCATTACTGTGGATTTGCTGTTCACATCTTGCTGATACCTCCCACATATCCAAGGATGGATTTCCTCACACCCTCCCCTCCACAGTGCCTCCATGAGTCTTCAGTTTCACCAACAGTTGTTGCTGACAGTCTCATTAAGCAGTACGTGATAAAGTTAGGTTTCTGGAAGGCTCTTTTTAAAATATCACTGAATTCCCTGTTTCTCTCTTTTGATTAAGACACCATTCTTAGGAAAAGGAGAGATGCTGAAACCCACATCACACAATTTCCATACACAGCCTGCCCAAAACTCAGATGTAATAATGCATGTGGTAACTGGTGTAGGCACTTCTGTATGTGAAACAAAACCATAAGAATTTGTTGGCCTGTTGTCAAGTGAGCAAAGGAAAAGTTACTCATGCACTTTGAGCTCCATTCTGCAAACATACATTAATAATTAATATTTGGTTTCTGAGAGGGGGAAAAAATAAGCTCACACCAACTTAAAGTGTACTAACTACATTCCCTTGTAGTAAATATTAAACTCTTGTTTCCAGAGCTTCCAGAAACATATGACACTAGGAGTGCATGGATGGAACAGCTATTATTTCCTCAAACAGTCATGCAGAAAATGCTCTGCAACTGGGCAGAACTGTTTCTCAAACAGATCTTCCAGAAGACCTGACTACCAAAATGGAACTGCTAAACTTATCTTGCTTTTGGCAGTCATACAGTTGTAAGAGGTTTTCATCGCTTTTGAAAATATGAAATCTCAGCATGCATAAAAAAACCAAATTTTAATGAGCTGTTGTGTTTGATTTTGAATTTTTTAGAACAACTCTCCTATAGTAGCATAACTATAAGTTTCATAAAAACATACCACATTATCCCTATTTACAATCCCTAATTAGAAAAAATAATTCATCAGTTATTCATCTCTCTCTGACATTGGTTATAAATGTAAAAAAAATTTTTATAGCAACTTGAAGAGTAATTCCTTTACTGTATTACCAGTCTCCTGTGCATCTATAGAGCAGGTCAAAACATAGAGAAGAACAAGAAGTGGTTTCCAGTCATCCATTTGGAAAAATTCCCTGGAAAAACAAAACCAAAACCAAATACGGTAAGAAATACAGAGCATAATTTCCTCAAAAAGAGGTTTTTAATTGTGGAGGAACTGGGTAAGTGCACTTTATTAACAACATGCAGCCTTACTAGCTGTATGCAATTTAAAGTAGCACTTTAAATTCATATTTTCTTCCCTCAGCTTCTAACATACAGGCTCTGAACACAGACCTCTGAGAGTTTGACACTGATGTACAGCATATAACCAAAATGAACTGTTCACTGCTTCACTCTCACAATCATACTTTATTCTGATTCACACAGTTATATTTACCACAATCTAAAATTCAACTAAAAGCAAGCTATTCATGGTGTAAGATTAATGGGGGTTATGCCTTCAAGATACCCTCCTACCACTGAAATTTCCCACCCACACATTGATTTAAAAGAAAAATTTGGTGGTGGTATCTATATACGATACACATAGATAAGAACAAGCATTCATTTACAAATGAAATATGTCAGTGGGTCAGTAATAAAGACACTTGTCATATAAAAGTGCCAAAGCTGTGGGAAATGGGAATGAAAATCTCTCAGCAAGCAAGTACAAAATTAAGCACACCGAACAAATGAGAGCAAAGCAGTTTTGAATAACTTTCAATTCTAGGACACATGTACACTTAATGCTACTGTTAACAACTCAGTACACAGGTTTTATACTATACCTTGGATCTGCAAAGACAATTTACTAGAAAGGCTACTGCTGGTCTAACATTATAGCACAGTGTTCAGTTCCAGGTTCTTAGGGTAACAGTATGTAATATTACCCTAGGTCTTGTAAATAACAAAAAGCAATGAATAGAAATCAT